ACACACACACACACACACACACACACACACACCACACACACATGCACACTCACACACACATCACACACACATCACACCACACATGCACACACACACACACCACCCACACATGCACACACACACACACACACACATCACACCACATATGCACACACACACACACACACACATCACACCACATATGCACACACACACACACACACACACACCACCCACACATGCACACACACACACATCATACACACACACACCACACACACATGCACACACACACACATCACACACACCACCCACACATGCACACACACACACACACACACACCACCCACACATGCACACACCACACACACACACCACCCACACATGCACACACATCACACACACACACATCACACACACATACACACACACACACCACACACACACATCACACACCACCCACACATGCACACACATCACACACACACACACACACACCACACACATGCATCACACATCACACACACACATCACACACACATGCATCACACATCACACACACACAGACACACACATCACACCACACATACCCACATGCCACACAAGCACACACACACACCACACACACTACCCCCACACACACATGCCACACAAGCACACACACACCACACCACACACGCACCACACCCACATACCACACAAGCACACACACACACCACACTACACACACCACACCACACACACATACCACACCACACACCACACACACACACACACCTCACCACACATGCATCACACATCACACATACACCACACCACACATACCCACATACCACACAAGCACACACACACACACCACACCACACACACCCACATACCACACAAGCACACACACACACACCACACCACACACACACACCACACCACACACGCATCACACCCACATACCACACAAGCACACACACACACACCACACCACACACACCACACACACCACACACACACACCATACCACACCCACATACCACACCACACACCACACACACACATACACACACCACAACACACACACACTACACAGGCACATGCACTCAAGAAGCACACACCACACCACACATGGACCACACACACATCACACACACACATATGCAAACACCACAACACACATATACACACCATACCATACACATAATACACCCCCCTCACCACACACACATGCACACCCACATACCACACCACACATACACACCACAAACATACACACCACAAACATACACACCACAAACATACACACACAAATCAGTCTTCTGGGTATCAAATTATCAAGTCTTGAACTTAAATCTGCATTATGGGGCAGAAGTCGAGGAAGGTATAGGAATTGTCATGGTTGGCTTTTTTTGTCAACTTGATCCAAGCTAGAAACCTAGAAACCTCAGTTAAGGAAATGCCTCCATCGGATTGACTGTAGACAAAACTTGTAGTGCATTGGTTTGACTTATGATTGATGTGGTTGTGTCCAGAACATGGGGTGGGGTAGTGCCGACCCTGGGCAGGCGGTCATGAGTTGTGTAAGAAAGCAAGCTGAGCCAGGCAGCGGTGGGACACCTCTTTAATCCTGGCGCTCGGGAGGCAGAGGCAGGCAGATGGATCTCTATGAGTTCGAGGCCAGCCTGGTCTATAAAGTGAGTTCCAGGACAGGCTCCAAAGCTACACAGAGAAACCCTGTCTCAAAAAAGAAAGGGAGAGAGGGACAGAGAGAGGGAGGGAGGGAGAGAGAGAGAGAGCGAGAGAGCGAGCGAGCGAGCGAGCGAGAGAGACAGATTTGTGTTCCGTTCCTCTTGTTCCTTTGTGGCCTCTCTATCAGTTCTAGCCTCCAGGTTGTGGTCTTGAATTCCTGCTCAGACTTCCCTCGTGATGGAGTGTGATCGCAGAGCTGTAAGCTGAAATAAACCCTTTCCTCCCCAAGCTGCTTTTGGCCGTGGTATTTTATCACAACAGGAGAAACTTTGACTAAGAAAGGATTCAATTTTAGAGATGAGGAGACAGGTCGGGGGATAAAGTCCTCACCAAGAGTTAGGATGTTAGTGATCACAGCTGGGCGCCTGCCAACAAGACTTAGGGGCGTGGGCGTGTGGGCGTGGCCTCTGCAGTGGGCGTGGGTTCCGGGCTCTGCTCTGCCCGCTGCAGACTCCGACATCTGAGCGCCAGCTGACGACCATGGAGCCCGTGCCGGTGCCCGTGCCGGTGCCCGTGCCGGTGCCCGTGCCGCTGCAGGACTTCGCGGGCCGCCTGGACCCCGCTTCCCTTCCGCGCGTGCTGCGGGTCTGCTCCGGAGTCTACTCTGAAGGTGAGCGGGCCATGGGGGAAGCAGCCAGGCACGCTGGATCATGCCTGTAGTCGCAACACTGAGGAGCTGAGGCAGGAGCACTGGCACAAATTTGGGGCTACTGGCCTGTATGGTGAGTTCCAGGTCAGTCTGGTACAGAGTGAGACCCTGAGGAAGTTGGGGTTTGAATTAGGATGCTGCCTCTTGCCCGAGCTTTATGAGTTCGCACCAAAAAACCGCCTCCTTGCACCTCGGCGTTGTTCCGTGGGTGATGAGAAGCCGTTGAGTTAGCACAGAAAATGGGGTGCAGCAAGGCAAGGACAACTGAACAATCTAGGAAACCCTGTCCCAAGCAGCAAGAACAATTGTAACAATAAATGGACAAATAAGTAAATGGAGCTCACTCCTCCACTGTGCTAGGCGGGCACTAGGGCGCTCGCTATAGTTTTGTTTAAGAGAGAGAGGATCTTGTTTTGTAGCCCAGGCTGGCCTCAGACTCGCAGTGATCCTTTTGCCTCTGCCTGAAATTGCCATGCCTGGGTTGCTGCTGCTCCCTTGTCTTTTTCCTACTCCTTTTTCTCCCTCGTCTCTAATCTTCTCTTCCTTTCTTCAGGGATCCAACCCAGGACCCTGAGCTCCAGCACTGAGCTCCATACACCCCAGTCCATTATTTAAGCACAGGCTTAGCCCTCCCACTGGGCTCTTTGCCTTCTGTCTCCCCGGCCCTCTTCCTAGATAGTCAGATAATGTCTTCGTTTCTCAGTTTGAATGGTCCTTCCTCCAGGAAGCCTTCCTGCTCCTTGCCTTGCACACCTACTTTTTGTTCACAGAGTTCCTGGTTCATAGCAGAGAAGAGATGGGCATATCAGGAACACAGTCCCCAGTTATGGCTCAAAACAGCGAGTGGCCAAGGATTGACCACTTGGGTAGGGGGAGGAGGAGAAGGGATGTAGGGGATGAGACACCCACTTGGCTGCTCTGTGGAGGGAGGAACCATAGCCCCAGTGAAAAGAGGGAGGCAGAGAAGAGTGGAGGTAGCTTGGGGAATGCAGACTCCTTCCTCAGAGAACAAGCCTCTTGTGAGCGCCTGTCTCATCCTGCTCTCCAGAGTGAGGGAACCTGACTCTGCCAGCAGAGTGTTCTGATGGCCAAGTGGATTCTAGACTAAGGAGGGCCTCCACTTCACAGTGGGTCTCTTGGGTCCACTGGAATCTGATGGGTCCCTGAAGCAGTCATCTGAGGTCTGTTTGTCCCTTCTCCAGCCTAGAACATCCTCCCGGCACCCCTTGCTCACCTCTGACACAATACTGGAGTTTCCTCATTTCTTCTGACCTGGGGTGGTGGGAAGTGGCTCAAATTGGGGTGACATGACCGAGACATATCACAGGCTGTGGATATGCAAATAAGGTTATGTGGAAGGTAGATGACCACAGGGGCAAGGGAGGGCAAAGTGTGGGAGAGTAGCTGACCATGTGGTTAGGAATTCCAGTTGTGGAGGTAAGTACCCTGGACTTGACACCCCCAAATTGACACCCAAGTTCTTCCTCCTGCCTCCCTCTCCCTCCTCCAACTCCCACATTCCCGCCATGCTGGAGACAGGTCCTGGATGTATACCCTAGACCAGCGCTCCAGCACTGAGCTAACTAACATCCTTAATTCTTTTTTGGTTTAAGACAAGCTCTTCCTGTGTGATTCAGACTTCTCCTGCCTAAGTTTCCGGAATGGTGGGGTTACTGATGTGTTTCTCCACCGTGAGTCTTACGAACTTTTGTTTACATTTATTGATTTGTTGTGTGTGGGAGGGGCTCACATGAGCCACAGTGTGCATGTGAAGGTCACAGGACAACTTTTGGGAGTCAATTTTCTGCCACTACGTGGGACTTGGTGATGAAAGAGTCTTTCCCTGCCAGTATCTTACTGGCTTCTTTTTGATATTTTTGAGGCAGGGTTTCATGTAGCCTAGGCTAGCCTAGAGGTTTTTATTTAGCCCAGGATGATCTTCCTCTTTACTGATCCTTTGGAGGGGCTGACACCACTTCTCTGAGCTGTCATCTTTAGGAAAGAGAAACTGTCAAGCAAAGGGAAACTTCTGGCCCCTGTTCCCCAAAGGGCAGTCAAGCATCTTCAGGGTAGAGAAGCAGCAGCGCAGTTATGCAGGCAGGGCTGGTATTTTTAAATCCACGGCTAATTCAGGGCCAGGTATATATAGTCTCCCTGGCCGCAAGGTCCGCACCCTGACCTTGTAGCAGCTGTGTGCACTTTCCTGAGGGCTTAGAGTGGGGTTTACACTAGTTTCTCACGGCCATGTGAGCAGCCCTAACCCCCTACCGGGGCTGTCCTGGGGGAGGGGCTGTCAGGTGGCCTCAAGGCCCTTCCAGCTACAGTTTCCCATCCTCTGCCAGCTGGATGGGGACCTCCCTCCCCAGTGCACACGCTGGGCTGTGAGATCTTTACTGTGTGTCTTCCAGTGTTCTCCATGGCTTAGCCTTTCGTCAGGCGAGTGGGCTGCTGAATCTGGAGGTGGCTCAGAACCTCGATCTCCTCCACTTCCCCTAAGAGGAACTCACTGGGCTGGTGAGCTGGCTGGTGGGCAGGGTGGTGGGGTGGTCGCTGCCAACCCTGCCAACCTGAATTCAATCCATGAGTCTCACTGCAAGGAGAGAACTGGCTCCCAAGAGTTGCCCTGATTTCTACAACCATGCTGTGGAATGTACTCAAGATAAACCAAAAAGTTTGGAAAAAACCCAAAAACTTAAAAAGCAACTCATCTGGGCTGGGGGTGTGGCTCAATTGGTAGAGTGTTCACCCATGGTGCATGAACCCCTGGATTTGATTCCCAGTGCTGCTAAGAACTCGGCATGGTGGCACACCCCTTGTCATTCGGGTATTGGAAGGTAGAGGCAGAGGATCAGAAGTTCAGTGTCATCTTTGATATACAGAGTTCCCAGGCCAACCTGAACTACAGGAGAGCCTGTTTCAATAATAAGTAAATAAGTAAATGCAACTCACTAGTCTGAAGTAGAAAGCAGGTGCTGTGGAAGAACCACCTGGCCCTCTGTATCTATGTGTCATCTACTTACTCCAAGCCTGATGTAACTGTGAAGGGGAAGTGGGGCTTACTGGGCTATTTACTGTTTGATGGGTGGAAAACACCTTCAGAGGCTGTGGTGATGTTGAGAATGGACCAGCCCTGGCTGCACTTACTCTAGGAGGCATGAATTGGGAGAAAGGGAAGAATGGGCATCACCAGGGCTACCTCCCACGGTCAGCGGTGACGGCGTAAGCTAAGGATGGCCAGTTGAGCCAGCTGCCATTTGTTGTTATATTTTCTTTTACTCTAGCCCCACGTTGGAATGTCAAAATGTAGGTGTTATTTTTGTTTGTTTTTGTTTTTTATTCTTAGTTCTTTGCTGTTTGACTCTGGTCTTTTGAGGACCTGCCACCCAGCTCCCAAATAAATCACACACAGAGTTGTATTCTTATTTAATATGAATGCCTGGCCTTAGCTTGGTTTGTTTCTTCCCAGCCTTTCTAAACTTAAATTATCCCAGCTACCTTTTGCTTCTGGGATTTTCCTTTTCTTACTTCTATATATCTTATTTTCACTCTTACTCTGTGATGTATTTCCTGCTTACTCAGGTAACATTATATCCTTCTGGGATCTTTGGAGTTAAAGACAAGATGGTTATAGTTGCAGCTTTCCTTAGTTATGATAGAAAGCAAATTATGTGTAAAACTTTAGACTCACTAAGATAGGATAGATAATACAGTATTTTCTCTCAACACGCTAACTACAAGTGAACAGAATATTGTAAATATAATTCTTACTTGATAACTGTTTTTTGTTGTGTATAGTTTTACTATGTTAAAGTTAAAACCTTTCTTTTTATTTAGACAAAAAAAGTGGAAGTGTTGTGGAATATTAAAGGTGTGTTACCTTTGTTTATGCTGTGGAGCATTTGTTCAATAATGTAAAGATGTGTTGCTTTTGTTAATGCTGTATTTGTTTAACTCTGTGAAGCTGTGGTTCTTTGCCTGTCTAAAACACCTGATGGTCTAATAAAGCACTGAATATAGCAAGGTTGGGCGATGCTGATAGGCAGAGAGTATAAATAGAAGGAAGAGAATGAGCAAGAGGAGCTAGGTAGGGCCAGCCTGTACACCCTGCCCGGCCCAGCCAGCCACAAAGTGGGAGTGACAGTAAAATACACAGAAGTAAGAAAAGAAAAAAAGCCCAGAGGCAAAAGGTAGTCGAGATCATTTAAGTTTAGAAAAGTTGGCAAGAAAAAAACAAGCTAAGGCTTACATACAATAAGTAACAATAAGATTCTGTGTGTGATTTATTTGGGAGCTGGCCCTCAAAAGACCAAACAGTCAAAGAGCAAAGAACTAAGAAAAAAAAAAAAAAAAAAAAGAACTACACCCTTTATCAAGGAAAGGCAAGGAAGAAAATGGAGGCTTCAGCATGGGGTATTTACACATATGCAGGAACCTCCGGTTCAGTGCTCAGTTATCTGAAAGAGAGAAAGACAATCAGGCTGCAGGGACAGCTGAGCAGAGTTTGTGGGGAACAGGGCACAGGCCAACCGGGGCTTGGCCTTTGCCAAAAATAGAAACTGAGTGTGTCTCTCCACAGGTTCCATCTATGAGCTTTTTGGGAATGAGTGTTGCCTCTCCACAGGGGACCTGATCAAGGTCACCCATGTTCACCTCCAGAAGGTGCTCTGTGAGAACCCAGAGACGGGTCAGACCTTGGAGCTCAACCCCGACTTCTCAGGTAAGGTGTGCACCTGTCCTGGCATCCTGTAGGCATAGCTTCAGCGGCCTGTGGGTGCGTTTGCCACTCCGGGTATTACTCCCGGCCCTCTGGCTTTGCATATAAGGGTGACATGTCTACTGTTTATGTAGCTTCAAGGCCAAGGATACATTCTGGGTGCATCCTTGAGGATGTCCTGAGCCTTGCAGAGTGAGTTCTAATTGGTCGTATATCTGGGTAAATGCTGAAAGATCAGAGAAGTAAAGGAGCCAGCTACTAGGGAGACTACTTACCTCTACTGAATCCTCAGATGGAAGGGGTTGAGCTCCTGTCTCTACGAATCCTCAGACTGAATGGGCCAGAGATCCTGTCTCCACCCTCGTTCTATTCCTATCTCCACCCCCCTAGTACTGGGATTAAAGGTATGTGCCTCCCAAGTACCGGGATCAAAGGCAAGAGATGCCAAGTGCTGGGCTCAATGGTGTGGGCCACAATGCCTGGCCTCTATGGTTAACTTTGATCTTCAGGCACAAACAAAATATCACCACAGAGCCTGGCATGTCCCTGCCCTCTTCTGATCACATCTGCCCCTAGGTCTTCAGCTTTTTTTTTTTTTTTTTTTGAGACAGGGTTTCTTTGTGGCTTTGGAGGCTGTCCTGGAACTAGCTCTGTAAACCAGGCTGGTCTCGAACTCACAGAGATCTCCTGCATCTGCCTCCCGAGTGCTGGGATTAAAGGTGTGCACCACCACCACCACCACCACCACCACCACCCAGCTGGTCTTCAGCTTTTGATCTCTATTTGCTCATACATCCATTCATCAAAGATCTAATGACACCCATGTGTGCCAGGCCCAATGGGGAGCTGGGTGTGTGGACCAGAATGAACTATGCCCTTCTGGAGTGGCAGTGAGAGAAGGCAAGGGTCCATGAAGCAGGCACCAGCTCAGCATGGGGTGGCCTGCACTCCAGGCTCTACAGATCCAGGAGTAAGAGGTCCCCAGATAAGGGAGTTGGCATGTGCCCATTTGGTGCCTAAGAAATCCCAGGAGAAACAGGTGTGGTGACATTCCTGGATTCTAGCACAAGGGAGGTAGAGGCTAAAGATCAGGAGTTCGAGGCTAACCTTAGCTATCTAGCAAGTCTAGGATGCATAAGATACTGTCTCAAAAGGGGTCAGGGCCTGAAGATGCCACTCAGTTGGTAGAATGCTTCCCGAGTGTACATGCAGTCCTGGGTTCTATCCCCAGCACTGCCTAAACCCGCTGAGGTAGTGGCACATGCCTGTAATCCCAGGATTTAGACAGTGGAGGCAGGAAGAGCAGAAGTAGGTCTCACACCTTGGAGATGATCAGCAGCAGACACTTGCTGCCAAATTTGATGATTCAAGTTCAATTCCCGGAACCTACATGGTAGAAGTCGTCCCCATGTGACCTCCACACATGGGTGGTAGCATGCTCATGCATACATAGTCTGACCTCCACGCGTGTGCCGTAGATGCACGTACCTACGTGTATACACTAGATAAATGTGATTTATTTTATTTCATTTCATTTTTTTTTTTTGAGACAAGATCTTGCTATACAACCTTAGTTGACCTTGAATTTACTCTGTAAACCAGGCTGGCCTCAAACTCATAGAGATCTGCCTCCCTCTGCCTGCCGAGTGCTGAGACTAAAGGTGTGCACCACCATGCCTAGCTTAAATGTGATTTTTAGAAAAAGATTTATTTATTTATTATGTATAGTGTTCTGCCTGCAGGCCAGAAGAGGGCACCGGATTTCATTACAGATGGTTGTGAGCCACCATGTGGTTACTGGGAATTGAACGTAGGACCTCTCTAGAAAAGCAGCCAGTGCTCTTAACCTCTGAGCCATCTCTCCAACCCAAATGTGATTTTTTTTTAACTTAAAAGAAAATTAGGCTGGGTGGTGGTGGCACACGTCTTTAATCCCATCACTCAGGAGGGAGGCAGAGGTAGGTGGATTTCTGTGAGTTGGAGGTCAGCCTGGTCTACAAGAGCTAGTTCCAGGATAGCTAAGGCTACACAGAGAAACCCTGTCTCAAACCCCTGCCCAGTCCAAAAAAAAAAAAAAAAATTAAAGATCCCTGTAGATTCCAAGACCAGCCTGAGATCCATGAAACCCTGTCTCAAAAACAAGCAAGCTAGCCAAGCAAGCAGAAAAAGTAACCCCCAAGAGGCTTGTTATTATGGAACAGGAGGTGTCTTGTCTGTGGCTGGGAGCAGCCTGGGTGGCCTCAGCATCCTCCTCTATTATGAACCCTTGGACTTGATGCTAGATTTGAAGAAGTAACATGTGTAAATATAGAGTAGAGGGGGTACATCCTGAACACACAGACACACAGACACACAGACACAC